TTCTATATACGAGTATATGCAAAGCCCATCCCAATTTCCGCTGGTCTGATTATGATTAACGATTAGAGCGCAAAGGAGTTGCCATCTCGATCGATCTGTAATTGGCAGTCAATTCCGTCAATTGAAAAATCGCCCCAAGCATTTCCGCTGATTAAACTCATCTATCGTTTGACTCCAAAATTCAAATAAATTTCACTCAATAATTTGCCCCTGTTAAACCCGTTCTGTGTCTTCTTTGGAAGTGTTTATCTATGTTTGTTTATCAGCCAGAGACTTCCAAATGGTCACAACAATTTTTAAACACTTTTAAAGCTTTTAATACAAAAACTTAGTAAACATATGTGATCAATAATATACAAAATTTTTGTAATAACGAAACCAAAAATTACATTTAATTTTTTAAGGCTGCTCACAGTTCATTATTAAGTATCATTCAGAGTTCAATATTAATTGTAGGAAAATAGACGACAATACAATAAATGCTAAATTAAATTGGATATCAACGTGATCAGTGTTGCAATCACTTGTATAAAATGTTGTAAACAGGCATGTGCATCCTTACCTATTTGTATAACTATTTATTTGATAGGTAATCTAATTCAAAGTCGAAATATCTTAGATTCTATATATCTTAAATCACCTTTATCGATGGGCCCCGCGATGTTTTGAATTGGGAATGAGACCTACCCAAAAAAAGCTGATTGCCTTGCATACTAAGTTTCGCGATGGGATCATCATCTTTGATTCTTGGCAGCCAATTTTCTCAGCTTTATTAGCACTTTTTCGCATAAGTAGAAAATTTATATGCAATTTTCAAACACGTTTTTATGACGACATTTGCATTTGTAAAATGTATCTTTTAATTTTGTGTGTCTTTTGTTCAGAGAGATTGGGATGATGACACAATGGATATATATATAAAGATATGGTCCACCCACACTGACTACTGCATTTTGCAATAACTCAGAAGGCAAATTGCGACAGTTTAGGAATTTCCCCATCCCAAAAAATGCTGTTAATGGGTGTTGGGTGATATTTTTTTATATTTTCCTATTGCTTTTTTCTATTTTCAACATTTACGCCATGCAATAGTCAAACAATAATTGTTCATATGCCGGCCGACTCACTCTATGTATATATATTTATATATATATATAGTATATATGTGCCCCCACAGACGCGCCATGCAAATATTAAATTACAATAGTTGGTTGAGGCTACGAAGTGAGAAATGAATAGTCAGGCTGAGAAATTGGTTTGCCCTACACTTGGGAGTTGTTTTTCAATGTTTAGTCTATGTGGCAAATATTTAAATGGATCACTGTTCACCTGCATTTTCACCCATTCTTTTCCTTGCAATGAAATCAAATCATCGAGGGTGGAATGAACCCTAACGAACACGAGTCTCTGATGAAAAAGCGAAAGGGAAATAAAAACCCTTTCTTATTTTCGATTATTAATCATCACAATTAGCCTGCTTGTTTGCTACTTTTTTTTAGCTACCTATACATAATTAAATCTATTAATGGGCGTTACAACTAATCTAATATTATGGAGTGCACAGGTATACAGCATTTAAATAGACTTCTATCTCGTTCATTTCCAGCTTAGCGAATTTAAAAAAAATTGGCAAAGTTCTAAATTATTTGAAAATAGCATCAACCTATTACCATATTTAGGGTATCATAGGGTATTGCCAACACAATATTTGCAGCTCCCAACTCCCAACTTTACTGCCCCGCCTCGGAATTAGAAACTTTCGTCTTTGGTATCTTGTCGTCATCTATTTTTAAATGCTTGCCTCATAGCCAAGATCTCCCCAATGATTCCCCGATTCCCCCAGTTGTTTCCTTACAAAAATGCATACGTCAGCCAGGGAAAATAGATTCCGGATCCGCAGAACCGGCGAGTCTGGGAATCTGAGAATCTGAGTATCCCGACCAGGTCAGATGCGGCTGCCCTGATGACTAATGGTCGGAAGCCTTCTGGCATGCCAATTTGACAAAGATAACACTCGGCGATATCGGCAATCGGTAATTGGCAATCGACGTTATAGATTTAGTACCACAACTAGGAAGAGAAAAGCGAGCCAGACACTTCACTCGCACCTCGCACATCTCATATTTGAACAGTTTTAAGTGTGCCAGTTGTCCCTGCCTCGCGGCACCGCCCCCTTTTCGAGTCCCCGCCCCCTTGGTCAATGTCTGAACTTGAGCTCAAGTGGGTGGAAAAGGGGGAGCTGCGTTAGGCAGCCTCAATGTAATATTTAAACAAATGCTCGCATGACTCTTCCACTGAAAATTGCATGTGATCGCTATGCGAATGTTCGGGTACACAGAGAGAAAATGCTTAGGTATTATTGATTATTCTACATTCGCATTATTTTGATCCTAGTAATAATGATTAAAAAAAAACAAACAAAAATCTAAGTTAATCCAAAATAAATATACCAAATCTTAAAAAATATAATTTTATGTTTAATACTTCCCTTTGAGACCATTTTCTCAGTGATCCAATACACCCAGACTGGTGGATATATAGGCGGCCGATCACATGTGTGATCGAGGGTCCAACATATTGTGTCCATATGTTGCACAAACAAACATTCGAAACAAAAACCGTGAAGCCACGAAAACAAGAAAACCAGAAAACAGAAAACAAGAGAACGAACCGAAGGGAATGTGCCAACAAAAGCATCTTTACACAGAAACCCAAAGAAAACCAAAAAAAATTTAATCCGAAAAGCTGAAAAAGAAACCAAAATGATACGGACAAGTCAAAAAAGCTGCGAAATGAATATTTTTCTCATCTGCTCGCTGCCGTTTTGTCGGTTTTGGGTGCTTTAATTTTCCTTCTTGTTTGGTTTGCAGTTGTTGTTGATAATGCAAATATTTTGACAGTTTGTTTGACAGGGATCGGGGGGCTATATCTCGGGGAAATTATAAGCGATATAAGGCAAAGCATCGGAGGGGCAAACGGAGGGCCTTGTAAAGCCGGAAAAGGGCCATCAATGAGGGGACCCATCTGTCGATGTAAACAACGCAATCCGGTTGCCGGGCGAAGATCAGTTTAAACATGAAAAAATGCCATCTGGAAAAAGTTTCTTATTTCAGCATATATAAGGATAGTGCAATTTCGTAGCTAATTGCACAGTTGCAATTATTTTATTACCATGCTTCATTTTTTAAAAATATTTTTTGCAATGTTTCAGCTGAATTATTAATTTTTTCAATTATAATACTTAGTTGTGCAATCATTGAAATTTTTTTTAATACAAAAATTATGTTTTACCAAAAATACAAAACATAAATTAATTTTTCTCTTTTCAGGAAATACCAATAGCTCATCCAAGTTCAGCTATCAATTTTGAACGGATAAAACCCAAGATAAACGATATCTGCACCCTAAAGCAAGCGATAACACCAACTTTAAGAAGCCGGGCCACCTGATCGTATACGCAATGTCCGATGACCGGCAATACGCATACGCCGGATGGGCAAAAGCGGAGGATGATGTTATCGAACTGCAGCAGTGACCTCGTTTACAGGCCGATTCGCAGTGGTTCCTTCCTGGAAGTGTGGGTCCCACCGATAAGCCCTGACCAGGCGACATAAATGTGTTCATTTGGCCTCATTTAACCCGCTTCCGATGTGATAAACAGAGTGAGTGCTGCAGCAAAACAAATCAAAACAACTGAAACATTTGGGGCATAAAAAAGTTCACCACAAAGTGTCCAGCAGGTACTGTCCACAAAAGCCAACGAGAATCGGACCTCCTTTTACATATATGTACATGCGGCGATTCAATTTGAAATGATAATTTAAGAAATTATTTCATTGCAAGACAACGTCTGTGGGCAACATGTCATTAACACGCTGATAACGCGCTATCATCGCTGTTCATTATGGTGGAAAAAATACACACAGTGAACCCTCCATATAAATATAGAACTGGAACAATCGACTTCTCCACATAATAATTGGCAAAAACCTCTGGGTACAATCGCGTCATTCAAAAGCCAGCTTAAGTCGCTTGAATTTTGGAAATGAATGGAAAATAAAAATAATTTCTTGAGACATTGATAACCCCCGACGATGACCTGCGCTCAATGGTCTTGATGGTTTTATTTTTTTGGCCTCTGGTCAACTCGAAATCCGGTCCTTAACATTGCTTTAGCAGAGCAATGGCATTTTCGAATTCAAATCACTCCCCATTTTAATGGGGAGTGGGGAGAAAACTATTTTCAAATCCACTTAAAATGCCCTCAGAGCATCAATATATTTTATGCTAATCACCAAGCTCGTTTTGTTTCTGTCCCTCTATTGGAAAAATAAAATGTGTGTCATAAAAAATAGTTCAAGTTCGTCGCCGAGTTGTGTCATACGGAATTAAAGATTGTTGGGTCTTAAGGAATGGATATAGACCTAATTATAGTTGTAAATTTTGCTTACAAAATGTTTTCCATATTATTATCTTTTTTGCTTAACATTAAACATTTCTAGATCTTAAATGTAAACATTTAAGATATAAAGGAGCGATGATATATTAACAAGAAAATATAACCTTTTTTTTTAAATTATGCTTTATCTATAAATTCACATTGATTATGATATCCCTATCTTGACATACCTTTTTTTGTTTCCACAAACTCACTTGATATTTTTCGTGTTTTAATACATGATTTCAGGTGGCTTTTTTTTTAAAGAAACTATATGAAGGACAACTCTTAAATCAAAGCCATTTAAACGAATGATATAGCTTCACACAAAGGTATATATGTATGTATTTTTTTTTTGGTAATTTCGACCAGCAATCAGTAGTCTAAGTTTCAACTTTTATCGTTGATAGTTTTAGTATACGCTTTATAGCCCCGATCAAAGTTCCAAGACCACCGGAACCGCCTTAATCAATGCAAAAAAAAAGGTGACAAAGTAGAGGCGAAACGGGCGCTACAAGTTCCCCAATTTTTGGATATCGCAATGGCCCCCGGTAAGACTCACCTTGGCATTTGTCAGCGGTACGTGGCAGGCGTTGAGGACGAAGGTCACGGCGAGGAGGCGCAGGAGCAGCGACGCCGTACCTCTCCGCCCAATTCCGAATCCGACCGAGGTCGCGATAGCGGACGCTTGGGATCCCGGCGATCCCATCGTCTTTATTCCGGGAACACAGGGGGTTACGTTACGGGATCTCTGGTATTTGTGGGTTTTTTTTTTGGCAGCTATTTGGGTTTTTGGTTTAGGTACTTGTGTGAAGGCAGTTTCGGTTCGTATTTGAGTTTGGTTTTAAAAGGCTGGCAGGTTGTGGTTACGGCTATGGCACTGCACAGAGAAAAATATACTTTGGTATTTTAGAAAAACGCCCAAAAAGAAATGCTTTCAAAATGATATAGCATGGTGAGATTACTTAAAGGATAATTAGGTTTTAAAACCTTAATTTCACTATGGTAAACGGACTATTTTTAGAATAATATATGGTTTTTGTTTGATTTCAATGCTTTCTTGGAAATTCTTTAACTGTTTTTTTCTCGTCTAAAAAAAAGAGACAACAAATCGGAGAGCACAGAAACGGGACGCGTTTCCCATCATCAGCAGAATGTGTTGACTTTCGTGAAACCAAAAGCTGAGTAAAACAAAAACGAAACCGTTTGGTCTCAGAAGTTCCCCTGAAAGGTCTGCCATATCCCACATTATTAGATTTCTTATTTTCACTCCTAGCTAATTTGTTTTTTTCCACTCTTTCTGATTCAATTCATTTCTTTAGTTAATTTTGTTTCACACGCGCATGACACTGTTTTTTTTCGAGTGTGTGGGTTCCTTAAGTCGGATCAAAAGGAGCAAATGTAATCCTTGAACCGTTTTCACTAGGATATCATTCAAGGATTTTTTGCGGCACTTTTCGGATGTAAGGGCACTCGAAAAAAAAACAATCGCTCCAGCAAGAGAGCCAGAGGCACACCAAAAACTAAAAAAAACTGGAAACGCACCGAGGAATGTGCGACCGCCTGGAACGATGGCGCGCAACCTAATGAATTTCTGAATGTCCAAGAACCGTAGCTGCCATCGCTGCCCTGCCTCTGCCGCTTTTCTGCTTCCACGAAGACGCACGAAGGAAAAAGACGAGGCGAAATGCGAAACACGAAGCGCTTTGCGTGCTCTTGGTATTGTTTATAACGGCTGCCTAAGTGCCAAATGCAAGCCTGTTGCGTCGATGCACTTTCTCTCCGCTCTCTCTGCCCCTTACTCACTCCGCTCTCTTTCTCTCTCCCCCCTTTCTCGGTCTCTCTCTGTCTTTTGCCCCATCTCCCTCCCGCATGCGTGGGCGTCCACTTACGCAGTGTAAGTCGCGCCTGCTCTTTCTGGCGCTCTCCTTGTCCTTTCCTTTCCCGACCCCTCCTCGCACCCCCTGCCCTAAAGGCGTAGCTAATATTTAAATAAGGGGGCCTGAGTAATTTCTAATTTATTATATTGTAATTTCCAATTGATTTATCCTGGAGCAGCGCCTGGGTAACACTTAATATTATAAAATAAAAAAGAACATGTGTTCAAATCTATGAGGGGGATAAACTCCCCAAAACAAATTACTCCAGATCCGCCCCTGTCCCTCGCTCTCTGTGGGTCAACTGATAAACAAGTGAAAACCGTTGCTCCTTGCTCTCTTTTCACCTTTTGTTGTTGCTGGCGCAGCCGGTTTGCAAATTACTTCTTTGACTCCCACGAAAAGTATCGCTTATATCGCACTTTTTCCTTTAAGTTCTTTGCATTCGACACTTAAAAAAATTAAAAATTTTGGAGGACCAAGAAATTTTAAAGTTGTATCACTAACAGGAATTTATGAAAAGTAATATTCACATTTTGACGCATGAACAATACTGTTTAGCCCTTAAAACTCCGGCGATTTTAACAAATCTTATTCCCCATTTGCACTATGTCAAATCACTGTAAAAAACAAATCATATAATGAGTGAGAAAACAAGCAAATACTCGGCAAAGAAGTATTTTCACTTTGTGAGCCCCAGAATATTTGTGTTTTATGGGTATTTCTTGGAATGCAGCAATGTTGTTCCGCGGGGAAGGAAACCAGGTGCAACCAGGTAGAACATCATCTTGAAAGTGCAGTCATCGGGCTAAAATCATCTCGTCTGCAAGTTCACTTTTCGTGTAATTTTTGCTAAGCAACAACACTCAAGCGTTAAATAAGCATTAAAACTTAGAAATTTGTGGTTATTTTGGTAACGATTTGAATACTTTATTTAGTTAACACATTTTCGTTTGTTTATAAGGTAACTATGTATACTTTGCTTTTGATAAAAGCACATTTAATGGTACATTCTTGTGTTTATAGGTGATTTATAAGCAACAGCATACAATAATAATGTAAAGTGTACATTGTTTTTAGTTTAAAAATAACCTTATATGTTGATTAAGGTACTGAAAAATAAATATTAAAATATTATAGTGTGAGAAAAGCATTAATAGAATTATATTAATTTAAAAATCATTGAAAATTTCAGATAAAAATATTTAAAACAATGAAAGTTTCCTCGTTAGACCATTTAAAACGGGTAAAAGAGCTTGGCGGTTTTGGCGGTTAGACCAGTTGTCAACGGGTAATAGGTCATGGGCTTCACCTGCTGCAACCCGTGACCTTCAGCCCACTCCTCCTCCCACCGCCATCCCCGAAAAGGCGGCTTCTCATTGGCTCCACACCCAAATGACATCAGAGCACGACGCATGCGTGAGGATGAATTACCGGACTTGGATGCCGACGCCCACGTGGAGGACCAATGGACACGTTGCGATATTTCGGAGCCCCCACCTCCTGGAATTAATGGGCTTTTCCCCCCTTTTGGCGATTCCTTCTGTGTTCGCGTAATTGGCACAGCTTCCGTTCGATGATAAGAAAAGGCTCTATAAATACACACTAAAAATATTTTAATTACGCCAAATACAATTACGACAATGAACTGGCTACACTTAGGAAAAATTATATTTGATTGGAACAAAATTAGGTGAATTGTTGTTTATGTCAATGAAAATCTAAATCTATTACTAATTAATACTTAGCTATTAGTTCTAAAACGTAAGATATATTTAAAATGCTGTTCGATTTGTTGGGGTTAAGAAAACTAATAACTTAACTGATTTAAGATTAAGCCAAATACAAATATGGTTTTCAACTATCAGGATCTGCAAAATATCTGCAACCCTTTCTCAAGCATATTTTTAATATTGCCTTAACGTAGGGCAATCGAACCAAATGTTTTTTTGAGTACTCAATTAAAATAATATTTGGAACATGTGTGTTATTTCAAACGTATATATATATATTTTGGGGAAGTCAAGAGGTGGACCCTAATCGGCTCATCGCCTTGAAACTGGAACAAGTGTTGAAGAAATCCGAGTCGGACTAAAAGGTTATCTGTTAGGGCGAGCCAACATCCAGCAACAGCATTTTCAATTTGCCAAACTCACCACATTAGAGTGGTGAGTGCGCTTCTCTGTTAGCCACTTTTAAGAACTTTCAGTTTGAGAGCTATTGCAAACGAGCTTTTAGCCAAGTCAGCTAGTTTTGTTTGTAAAAGCTCTCTAAGATTGGTTATATTTAATCACATCTAAACAGAAATAAAGAATACATCCCCAGATATTTACAGACTAATAAATTACTAAATGATTAAGATAGGTAGGAGATCGAAGATTACATTTATTTACCTAAAGAATTTTTGAAAGTAATTGGAAAAAGGTTTCGACTGTACGAGATATTATAGTTTTGAATTAGTTCATTATCATCAAACATTTAAAATCGAATGTAATATATAAACAAAAACTTATTAACATTAAATTGATTCATTACCCATATGTTATATATGTATAAATAGGCCATTTGATCGAAGCTAATGAAAATCCCTAATTTGTGATGTAAGTAATAACCTAATTTTATTATTATTTTATCGTTTACATTGACCAGACAATTGGAAACTTTGGGTAGAAATCACGCCTATTTTCATAGTTTAATTGAATTTCAATTATTAAGATAATCCACAAGAGCACATCCCGAACATATTTCTGAAGAGCATAATAATAAACTCAAGGGTCATTTTTAGTTATCCTTTTTTGACGAGTATGAAGGTTCCGCTGCCCCATTTATTTCCCAACCCCTCCTTTCATCGCTCACTTTTACATTTTCCGTGCACTTTTTTGGTTTCCGTTACCGAGTTTTACGCTTAATATTTGCCTCCCCATTTTTTTCTGGCCAAGTTACGTGTTTCGCAACCGCAACTTGTGGGTTTTTGCATGCGTAAAATGTGTGGCAAAAAATGTGCGTGAATCGCGACAGGCGACATTTTTATAATTGAAAATTAATTGTTGCTGTGAATCATTTAACCAACACTATTCTATTTTTATTGCACGTATGGTTTAGGAAAAAAAAGCAGAGAGCTATTAAATATTTCACTATTTATTACTCAAAAAATCTAAATGCTTGGCAACGGCTTAAAAAAGAAAAACATTTGACATGTGATTTATGTGAAGCAATAATCGCGAAATATATATGTGACATTTGAAATAAATTTAATTGAGCTATTCACAGCTATGACATTGACTCATTCAATCACTCTTAAAACGTTATTTTCTTTTGAATAAGATTGAATCGAAACAACCCCCGAAACGACAAGTAGGCCAGACAAAAATCGTTCTTAAATTGCTTGTAAGAAATCACATACTGCTGATAATCATTCAGTCACTTAGACATTTAAGTACTTTGCTTTGATAAAGAAAATGAGGTTAAACTGACCTCTTGAATAATTTTCATCAGGAGAAAATGAGCACAATATGAAAATATAGCTCATACGCCATGTATTACAATTTAATTGCATTTAACTTGTTAAAAAAATTTTGGTCAAAAATAATCGATAAACTTTGAATGAGTCAGGCAAGTATAAAAAAATATTTCTTAGCTTATAATGAATGTTTTCAAATAAAATTAAGCATACGCCAAGTGAGCCAAGGCAAATTTTGTATTGATACTTCTTGAATATTTAAGAATCGTTCACCTGCAACTGACACACAGCCGAAGTTCTAGGGCAAATGTGGCGCTATCTTTTTCAATCAGCAAGGTTCCTGTCTCAAAATTGACAGACGAAGATGTACTTAAGCCATTTTCAAGGAAACTCGGTTACGTGGAAGCAAACCCCAGGCAAAACCCCGGAAAACCCAACAAGTGGCGGGTAACAAGTTGAAAACTGCAGTTTGCATAAGGAGAGAAGCACCAACCTTCGGTGTAAAAGTGGGGAAAAGCCGTGTTGACATTTCCCCCCCCTTCCCCACGCTTTTCCATCCCGACTGTTGTGCAATGGTCGGCGAAAATGTGTGTGCCATTAGGGAAAAGGACTCGATTTTGTTGTGTAGCCAAAGCGTTTGCTAATTGTTCAGCCGGCTTTCTTTATTTTTGATTGTATTTTTCGGCAAGTCTCTGGCCAGGGCTTTTAGCTTAATTAAGGCCAGCGTGCCGGCCTTTGTGGCACCTCCATCCCGCTCATCAATACGCATTTGAAGGTATTTTGTGGCATTGAAATTTAATTTCGTTTTATTTCGCATTTCACATTAATTAAATTGACCTCCTTCTGTGCGAGTTTTGGAGGCGTGGAAGGCGAAAAACTGCCAAAAGGTCAACGGCGAAAGTTAAAAGTCCGGGGAGGATTTGCAGATAACACAAAATTCGAAAGTCTGGCTGGAGTACGATCTATTCACTGATTAACTATTGTTAAGAGGAGAGTTTATAGGTTTCGGTTAAACGTTTGCTCAACGAAATCTAACAATTACCGAAGAAAGTTCAATTTTAAGTTCCATTTTGAAGCACTTTATTTTGTAACTTTAAACAAACGAGTTTCTTTACTAAGTATTGGGATCAACTAAGTTTAATAATTTTTGAATAATATAGTAGCAAATATTTCTAATATCTTAGGAAATAGCTAAAAATGTTTAGTAATACCCCAAAGAACCCATTTCCCCCTCCTGCCATATAATTTACCGCGATTTGAAAGGCTTCCACAGGAGTTG